CTGTAACGAGCTAAGCTGTTTTCAGATGTGTGAACATGATTGCACAAGGGTTTTCTAATCATCAATTAGCCTTCTGAGCCAATGAGCAAACACATTGTACCTTTAGAACACTGGAGTGATAGTTGCTGGAAATGGGCATCTATACACCTATGTAGATATTGCACCAAAAAAAAGACATTTGCAGCTAGAATAGTCATTTACCTCATTAGCAATGTATAGAGTGTATTTCTTTAAAGTTAAGACTAGTTTAAAGTTATCTTCACTGAAAAGTACAGTGCTTTTCCTTAAAAAATAAGGACATTTCAATGTGACCCCAAACTTTTGAACGGGTGTATATATATATATATATATATATATATATATATATATATATATATATATATATATATATATATATATATATATATATATATATATATATATATATATATATATATATAAATTATTGTTTTGTGCTGAAATTAAAGAACAATCGTTGCTGGGTTTTTTTGGTTATTGGCAATTCATTTTATTTCAAGTGTAACAAATTTAAGGTTTTTCTCTTTTTAGCATTTACGAAATACAAAATTTTTCAGCAAATGACCTTTATTTTTATAATCAGTTTGTGTTTAAACTACATTTGCATATATTTTGCAGCAATGAGGCTGCAACAGGAGAAATGGTTGTTGTAGATTTATGTTTGTCTGTTTATTTGTGTAAGAATGTGAGTGTGTGTGGGTGTGTGCATGTGTGTGGGTGGGTGGCTGGTAATGGTAGAGAAAGGCTCTAAATTGATTGTTTCCAGAGTGACCCGGGGAATTGATTCACCATATCCCAGCTGCAGTGACTCAGAAACAATTTGCACAACCATGTTCAGAAAGATGACAAGCAAAACCAGTGTGTGTACAATGTGGTATTTCAGCTGACAGCGCTGCAGTTTAAGTCTTTAATATGTGTGGCTATTAAACTGAATCCATATGCAAGAGAAGTGTACAGCGTCTGGAAAACATATTTATAGCTTTTGAACGATTCCCAATTTGTCACAAATGAACACTAACCGTAAAGGGGCCACATACTTTGAATTTATGAATTTGTAAGACAGTAGCTCAATCAAAGGCTTCACTGCAAAAAAAAAAGGAATTTAAGATGAGTTATAAATCCCTCAAAAAGGTGTATTTAATCTTCATATAGAATGCTTTTCTGTCCTAAAAATCAGATACTAAGTATTATACATTTAAAGTAAGATGTTTTATCTTTATTTTACCTTAAGCATGATTCATCTTATTCCACTGGCATATCGTCTCACTTACCTTCTCAAAGGAAGGAAAATATTATTAATAATTCAAGAAAAACAGACTTAATTTCTTGCTGTCTTTCTGATTAAATTTTTATACCCTGTTGAACTAATAAATATTATTTTCTATGTTTTATACTCTGTTTTTATTTCATTTGTTATTAAGAGTAAGTGTTATTAGTATTTACCATGATAACATTACTTGACAGGAAATACAATAGTGTGCAGGAGTGTAAATAGTAATCAAGGAAGTAATGGAGCCAAGCAACCCGCAGCAGAGATGTGAAAAGAAAGAAGAAAATGTAATTATGGTAGTAAAAGTACTTGTTTCTATATTTAAATGATCAAAGAATGCTAAAATACATCTTATAAAAATTATCTAATGGCTTTTCTGAAAGAACTATTTTAATTTCTCTCCGTTTAAGTGCTTGTGTGACGTCATTGTGGGTCATGATCAGAGTAGTTTGGCAGAATATGATTTCATCGTGTTTGTCTGCATTTTATTTGCTTTTTTTTTTAGAACATACATTATTTATCATAAAAGTACAATGAAAGGGAACCATAGAACTTAAAATTACTCCATTTATTTAAAAACCCAAAGCCTAAAAAAGCCAGAAGAAGAGTAAGATCCCATTTCTGGGACAGATTGGGGACAGACGAGTACATACAGGATGTAAACACATTCATTTTCTCAGAAAATAGATTAATAAAATTTATACAGAATGTAGTTTAGTATACTTATTATGATAAGGGAGAGAAAGAAAATAATTGCAGTCCTTTTTACAAAGCACGATTGATGGTGACTCAGATTTATCTTTATTTTTGCATCCGAAAATTAGTTGCTGCTACGGCTTTTGCGTCCGGATCGGGTAGTTTTTTATGTAGGCATAGTTCCTGATTGGGCTCCTTTAATCAATTTGACTGGGTTTGTGTGCAAAAAAGAACAAATTTTATTTTTCTAACTCTATAAAGTTTGTCATGCATCTGTATGTATCCCAGTTGCAGTCTTTTGTGGTATCTTAAAAGGCTAGCACATGTAAGAACAAAAAATAGCCTATTTCTTCTTTGTAAAACAAGAAAAACTCATGAAAATTTATTTCAAAGTCTTGCCACACGTTTTCAGTCAGATTTAGTTTCAAGCTTTCTATTATATCTACATGAACATATTTTGATTGAAACCACCCGTTTTATCCCTGTCTTTAGAATGGTTTTCCTGGTGAATCTCCACCTCAGGCAAAAGTCTTTATTTTTTAGCCTCATACAGATTTTCTTCCAGAATGTTCTTGTTTTTAGCACTTATTCTTTCGGAAACAGCAGGGTGGACTTCAAAAGCATCATGCTGCCTCCTCTTTGCTTCACAAAATGTTCCTAAATGATGAATAATGGGTTCAGGTTGTTGATTTTCCATCAAATGTAGCTATTTGCATTTAGATCAAAAAGCTTCATTTTGGCCTCATCTGACCAGAGCAACTTCTTCCACATGTTTATTGTGTCCTCTAATTTGGTCTGTAGCAAATCTAATATAGGATTATTTTTAAAATTAGTTTCTTGTTGCAGTTCCTCCACATTAATAGGTCTCCTGTCAAGATTCTCCCACCTGAGCAGTAGATCTGTGCAGCTCCTCCAGATGCACCTCTTTCTGTTAGTCTGTCACGTAAAATCAAACACATTTAAGTGTGTAAAATGAAAAAAGTATGTAAAAATTATTCAAAAGGTATGAATACAAAGCAATGTAAGACACATTTTCATCAAAATCAGCAGTTCAGTATTAATATGTTTTAATATTTTTTGATGTTACCTAAAAAAAAAAAAAAAAAATGTACACTGCAAAATTTTTTCAATCTAAGCAAATCTTATTATCTTACTTTCATACAATAAAATCTTTTTGATCTTTTGGTTTTTGTTTTGAGATTGACACCCTAAGTAAGAGTAGATTAGATTATTAATCTTCTACTAATACGTTTCTACTTATAAAAAAATACAATAATCTGCCAGTGCAGTAAGTGCAGTAAATAAACAAAAATAATAAAAAAATAAAGCATGATTTCAAAAGATGCTATTAACTTACTGCTCTGATAGATTACTAAAATTATTTGCAGTAAAATCTTCTTATTTGTCCTTTTATTGGGTGTTATTCATTCATTGCATGCCAAAGATAATATTAATATATTAGAGATAAATTTCCGATGAAAAGGGTTTCTGTTAAATGTCAAAACAAGAACATAATGTAGCATTTAAGAATAAAAACCAAGATAAAAAAAATCTCAGAAATGTCTGTACTGCAAACCAATTTCACAGGTCTTACAATCTTTTATCAAACCAAAATGTATTTTTAACCTTGTTTTAAGATAGATATACTAAGCAAAAGTAGATCATGTTAAATGATTGATCTTTTGTGTAGAATCTACTCAAAACAAGTACAATAATCAGTGAGGAAATTTCACTTGGTAAGACTTTTTGAAATCATTTTCTAGATTATCAAAACAAGAAATCTTATCAAGTGCATTTGGCTTACTGCACTGACAGGTCATTGCACTTGTTTTGAGTAGAATATTATGAAACGAAGATTAATAATCTATGAGAATCCATTTTGGTCTGGTATATAAACTTCTGAACAAGATCAAAAAGGGTTTTGCTACATATATGTTTGTAAGACTTGGTTAGATGGACCATTTTTGCAGTACAGACACTTCAGAGAAGCATTTTATCTTAGTTCTTTATTCTTAAATGCAACATTATGTTCTTGTTTTGGCATTCAACAGAGCCCATTTTCATTGGAAAGTTATATTTAGTGTGTTAATGTTGTCTTAGCCATGTTAATGAATGAATAATATCCACTGAAAGAACAAATAGGCTTTAGGCTGAGAGGAATTCTGGCTCTATCAAAATGTCTCTCTTTACTTTGTTAGGGACAAACTCGATAAACAAACAGCAGATAAGTTTTTTTCCAGCTGCAGTCAACATAGATCCTTCCCTCCTGACTTTAACTCATGAACAGTTACTCTTACCTTCTGTTGTCCTTTACTACTAACTGGAAAGCTATTCATCTTATGAATTATCAACTAAACCAAGCACTGAGTTTACCAGTTAACTAACAGGAACAGCTGCAAAATATGGTGACTTTTTTATTCCTAACATGACAAAAAGTGAGAAGTGTGAATACCTTTAATCCTTCCAGGTTGTTTATATTTGCAGGGAGGGAGGGATAAGTTTGTTCTTTGGAAACATTTCTACAGGATAATTAGTAATCCACTTCTTTTTGTTGTTGTGTAAAAGAAAAATAACATAAACTCAGCTTGTTTACTGCTTTATAATCAGTGTGAACCTGCATGTAAGTGAATGTCACACGACAGGAAGAGCATGCTGAGAGGTGGAATGAGCTTCTCAGAAAGTTGGCCATTATCAGCAGTTTGAGGCTGAAGCCTGATGAGGTTGATCCTGACTGCAGCCATAAATGGCAACATCGCGTGTAAGCAGCAGTTTAAATTTAATGCACTGACCCAAGCTGGAAATCTTATTACATTCCAGGTAGGAAGCAATCTCCCCCGCTGAGAGGTGATAGGTTGACCCATGTGGAAGTCTTTTATGCCCATGGAGCTCTGAGTCAACGACAGCCTTACATACTGCACTTGTCGTTTATTGGGTTATGACAAACTAATTCCTTTTTCATCAAAGTGAGTTGCTCCACATTGTTCTCTCCTCTTCATCTCCTCCTCTCTGCTTCCAGCTGCAGAGACTCAAACGCTCCCTTTCCTTCAAGACCAAGAGCATCCGCAGCAAGAGTGCCGACAACTTCTTCCGTACTAGCAGCGAGAACAAGACGGAGCTCCTCTCTGATGTGAGCAGCAGCACAGGCCATCTCTGCAACATTGGGATGGCCCCGCCGCACACTACCAGCCTGCCCATTCCTCCGGTCCCTCCAGCCATTCCCTCCGCTCCTCCCCCCACGTCCCGCTCCCAGGCACGCAATCCGCTGCAGGTAGACTCAGCTGGACACTGCTTCATGGAGCATATCTTCAAGAAACCCACGTTCTGCGACGTCTGCAACCACATGATAGTAGGTATGGGTCAAACACCAACTTCTGTTGACAAAGCTTTAGAGAATCTAAAGCAGGGAACACAGTCTTGGAACTGTGTAGTAGGCGCCACTGTATTCCTGGAAGTGGAAATAAAAAGTTAAAAGGCTGCCTCTGCTTTGAAAATGCAATGTCCTGGGTAGGAACTGAAATTAGCTAAAAAGTAATGCAGGAAATTAGGCAAACTTTATTGTGGAAAAATATTTGTCCTCTACAGTTTTTTTGCTTTTTAAGCATCAGATAAATGAATATTATTAAATATTATCATTAAATACAAAAAATAATTGCCAAATTTTTACTATTTTTTTTATTAGTTATCTGGTGTAAAAAAAAGGTATATATACATATGTGTATATATATATATATATATATATATATATATATATATATATATATATATATATATATATATATATATATATATATATATATATATATATATATATATATATAAAGTTATTCTTTTTTTTTAACGAGATCTGAGTTTTCAGTCTTACAACAAATCCATCTTGAAAGACTCCTGCTAGTACTTCTTCTCCTAACCATCAGAGCTTGCGCTTGCTTTTTAGCACAAAACTGATACATTTTTGCTGCAGACAATACAACAAATGACACAGTACTCAGGTAGCACTGCAGCAAAAAGCCAGAACAGCAGAACACAGGCTCAACTGTGTGCTGAACCTCGCTGCAAACGCTGCGCAAACTGCGTCCTGTGAGAAAGGCCCTTTTGAAGGGGATTGATGGAAGGGCCTAACATTCTGCTCTCACTTGTTCACCTACTCTTATCCAACACTATTGCTAACTAACTTTTTTTTTTCCAAAAATCTAATCTAGGGACTTTTCTGTGCATTGTTGGAGACTTTTACGACAAAAGAAAGCATTGATCGCTTTTAGTTTAGTACTCGAGCGAGTAGTAATTGATTCTGTAGGGCAGCCTCACCCTGCAGCAAACTCTTCCTACAGACAGGGTGGAGACCGATTCCAGTCTGTTTCCCCATAAAAAGTCATGCATGAGCAAAGCTTCCGTTGATACTTTCCTGGATTACAAACTGTGGTAAATATTACGTAATCTTTAAAGTAATGGGTTTTTATTTTCACTAAACTCTTCCATGTAAATAGATCACTCACTGCAATTGATTCACACAGCCTCAGTCATTTATTCACTTCATCCACTGTGGACGCCTCTGCTATCCTTTGGTTACATTTGATAATATAACAAAGCCGATCAATGTAGTTTGGGTTCAAGTCAAATTTTTATGAATGCTTACACTTATTTTGTATAGTTCGCATTTTTGTTTTAAGCAAAATTAGATTGTTTTTAATCTCTTTCTGGTTTACCAATTTAGATTTTTTCAATGATAATACAACATACTCTTTAAGATATGGTGTTATAACATTTTCCTTTATAGTTATTCATTTATATAGCAGATTTATTAGTTTATTATATAAAACATTTATTTTGTACCTTAAATTTAATTTGTGTGCCTTTGTTCCAAATTTAGAAAAATAAACCATTTCATTATTTGCCTTTTACTCTGTTGATTAAAAAAAGTATCAATAAGGGTATAAATTAAATACCAGGTTGATCTAGAGAAACATTAAAAGTAATAGAATGGATAAATCCTTATCAATACCCCTCACTATCTATCAGTATAAAATGGGTAATGAAGCATTTCTTTAACTTTGTGACCCCAGTCAAAGAATAATACCTAAAGTGCTTAGAGACTCTCTTTCCCAGTTATTTAATTAATCGAGAACAAATAAGACTGCTGACCAAAAACACCTAAAACGTCTGTCCCACATTTGTCCCACATTTGCTCATCTTGATGATCCCTGGGATTTTGGAAACTGACGAGAACTTTCTTAAATGCACGTGCCATGATCTGGTAAAACCAACAGAGCAGAACAAAAAACATCATAGAGATAGTGAAACATGGCGGTGGTGGTGTGAAGGTCTGGGCCTGCTAGTCTGCTTGAGGACCCAGACAACTTCCTTTGGTGAAAAAACTTTATTCTGCTCCTTTTTGTTAAAATGAATGTCAGATGAAGGTCAAGCTAAGCTTTATTGCTTTATTATTTGAAACAAATGAGAAGTGAAGGTTTTGGAGAAGCTGAGTCAAAATCTGGACTTAAATCTATATCTGTAATAAAAAAAAAAAAATAAAAAAAAAAAACAAGATCTGGCCAGATGATTCAGCCAGAGTATTGTACAGGAAATGAAGATTAAATTTCTTACTAACTTGTAAAAGTATGTGGACTGTTCCTGCAGACCTAATTTTTTTTTGCATACAGAAAGGCTTATCAAGGTATAATAATAGACTATAGGGAACCCATTTAATAGATATATATATTTCAATAGTCATTTATAATTAAAAACAAACATGATTTTGCGTTTTTTTCTTTTTTTTTTTTTTTGACAGTGTCCTGTCTGGCAATGTGGCAATGACAATAATTGTCTTGATGCCAAAAAGAGCACAACAGATTTTACTTTCACAAGTGGAGCAGTATGGCAATTGCCACATCTTGAAACTATCGCTAAAGTAGTATTATTAAGTCTGACTTTGCGTTATTAACAACTTTGATCCTTGACAGTCCTCTACCTCTGCAGCACAATGCTGCAATTTTCTCTAAGGTTTGTTTCTTCAGTGAAGGAACAGTTTGGTTGTAATTAGCATAGCTAATGACCACTAACCAATGCTGAGAAAAATTTTGTAGATAACACAAAAATACATATTATTATTGTATGATTTGTGGTATAGACAAAAGCATTGCTGGTGTTTTGATATTGATATTTGATATTGCTGACAAAGATTGCTGCATGCCAGATGGACAGCATCTGAATACTTAATGTCAAATGTTATCAACCAAACCTGTTTTTTTAATGAATGAGTATTTGTTCTCTAAGCAGGTTAGCGTCAAAGGTTTCCACAGTTTCCTCCGAGACAGTATAACAGCTTCATTTCAATTTCTTAAAAGGTTTCCTTTATTAAAAGTCTGCTGACCTGTATTGGTGTGAAACATGAGGTGCTCATTAAAGAACTAATTACTTGATCTAATTCCAGGCCGACTGAAGAATTGCTGCAGGTTTTGTGCATTGCCTCCTCTGCTGCTGGTGTTGTGGTTATCTGTTGTTGGCAGGCAAATGCCTCAGCTTTTGCTAGGGAGAAAATGTCTAATCATACCAAGATCCACCATCATATCAGCCAAAATCGGCCCAACTCCAAATGATAACTTGTTTCTGCCCAGATTGAGCTTGCACTTCCGAAAAGGAAGGGTGAGATTATTAGTTTCTCCTGATTAAAGAGAAATGTTCTTCCTCAACTTAAGAATTTGCATAGATTTCTTAAGTTATTGCAACTTTAGTCATTAAGCAGTAAAGATTTGATGTGATTTGATTCCCAAACCCCCTCATTCCATCGCATCGCCCCAGGATTACAGGAGCTTAGATGCAACAGCAGCAAAAACGCAAGATATCTGTAATGTTTAAATCTTTTTTTTTTTACATCAGTAGTCTTGCTTTCTGAAAGTCTTCAGTTAAAAGTTTGGGATGTTAATTTTTAATTATAGTCTCGCTCATTGTTCTGTAGTAAGGAAGACTCAAACTACTCTGTTAGTAACACATGAGCCTTGTAAGGAATTTAATCATTTTTAAATAGCTCGCAAATGCGGTTTAATAAAAAAATGTAAGCAAGGAAGTTAAACGCTTTTAGATTTGTTAAACATAGTTCTTTAGGATGGGTTCATGCAGCTTAATGGACCTACTTTTTTGGTATACAGTTCGCAGTCTTTCCTTATTTAATAGCCTCTAATTTTTGCAGGGCTGTTTAACCCTTTAAAGCCAAGTGTATCAGATTTGATACAGGAGATTTTGAAACCTCTGCATCATCAGTGGGATGTTTTGGTTCTTGAAACCCTGACTTACATAATCAGACACATGTAGTGAACAGAAAACATATAAAAGATTATATAGAAATGCGTAATATATCAAAATTGATGCAAATAAATTATGTAATTTAATGTTTTTACAAAATTTATATAGTTATTTCATTTTTCACAAAGTTCAATGACAGTTCTAATTTTGGAAAATGTGAATCTTTTGTCACTTATTTCCTGGTTCAGGCTTTAAAGGGTTAACTGTTAATTGCAGTGATGACCTAATTCTGCAGAACCATTACAATGCTAAACATTTGACCAGATCATCTTCAGTCCTCTCTGCTCTTCCCATGCTTACTAGTGAAAATCAATTGTCCTTTTGCGTAACTCTATTTTCACACACTAACATGAAGAGTTCCTATAGATTATTCTGTGAAGAGCTTGTGATGCATAACTGGAACCACAAAGACTGTACAGTTGTCTACAGTCAGTGGTAGTTTGCTATATTGGGGCTGCTATTATCTGCTATTTAAGTTGTACATAGTGTAATAAAATGAAGCCTGTAGTTATCTTTAGAAAGGTTTAGTTAAAGTACAACCTAAACAAAAAAGTCATATTACGCCATTAAGGATGCTTATTGTGGCTGTGATATAAGTTTATTTCTCTAACTGCTTCTCTTTATTCTGGAATGACTAAGATAAAAATACATATTATATGGTATGCTTGCTTCAATGTTTGTGAATTTCGAAACAATATCAATTATTTAAATGTAACTGAAAGGAATTCACCTGAATGAAGACAAAGGAAGCATTTTCTTTGAATGAAAGTAAAAACATATACATTGCAACTGATTTAAGGAATGCAAACTGAAGCTTGTATCCCGGTGCACTTCAAACATGGCAACACCCTGAGACAAAAAATGGTTCACCCCAAAGACAAGACACCCAGATACAAGACAGACAATTTGGTCTATGCCATTGAGTGTAATGAAGAGTGCACAGGCGTATGGCTCAACACAGGAGGACCAACTCCTCAGGACAGGACTCAGCTGTTTACCTACACCTGAAGGCTAAAAGACACTCGTTTGAGGACAACAACGTTAACATTCTGGTCAAGGAAAACAGATGGTTTGAGAGAGGGGTTAAGGAAGTCATCTTTGTTAAACTGGAAAAAAACATCTCTAAACACAGGAGGTGGTCTTAGATATAACCTGTCACCTACTTACAAAGCACTTTTAAGAACAATAACAAGAGGAATCACCAAACACCTGCCCTCAGGGGGTTAACAACCAATCAGAACTCCCTAATGACCACCAACCCCCCAGGTGACCTCCCCTCCTAACTCTTTGTTAGACCTACAGTATATTAATCTCAGTGCTCTCCACCACTAGTTAGAACTGACGAAGCCTCTTGGATGAAAGGTACTAGCCTCGTGAGACCATCCTGATCTCGCAAGCTTTCAAGGTTTCACTCGCAGATCAGCCTGGAGACTCTCCGTTGAAGAAAATTTGGAGCCGTTCATCAAACGAACGTCCAATCAGCGTTGGCTTTGAGGTGGGTTGAGGTGTGACGCAACGAGAAGCGCTACAGCTCAGTCTAAAGAACATGGCGGCTTCAGCCGATGAAACTAGCATTAGCGTGGCTATCGAGCAAGTTTTATCGGAATTACAGAGTATTTCTTCACTGAAAGAAGAGCAAAACACTGCTCTGGAGGCTTTTCTCAGAGGAAAAGATGTTTTTGCTCTTCTCCCGACTGGTTTTGGCAAGAGTTAGCCTGGCTTGTGGTTGTGTTTTCGTCGTCGCTCTGTTAGTATGTCATATGCTTCGTTGATCTGATTGGTTTATTTGGCCCGTCTATCATCAAAATAGGCCAATCAGCTAACCAGTATTTTCGCCCCTTCCCAAAATTTGTTCAACGGAAGGTTCCCAGATGGATTTGCTCCGCATATCCATCTGGCGGAGTCCGGTTAGAAAGGTACAACCTCTTCTAGAAAAATCTTTTATCCAGTTGCTTAAACTTAACTTTTCAAGGTAGAGTCTAACTAAAAGCATCCTATATCAAAAGTATCTTAAACAAAATTCTATTACCGTATGTAATTACTTTAAAATTATATTTGATTACTTTTGGACCGCTTGGAATATTTTTACACATAACTGCATGGCCATTTTGAAAGGAACCCGACTTCCAAAAAAGAAAAAGTCATTGAGACTGAAAGCAAAATACTGCATAATACACAAAACATCAAAAAAGGCCTGCAGGTGACTAATGGACAGAAAATAGTTTTTGTTTCAGACAAGAAAAAGTAGAAATTTCTCCTAGCCAAATGTTTCTGGAACCCAAATTTCCCCTATATGTCTGATGATCCTGCCATCCTTCTAGTTTTTACAGTATTCCTCATTTACCTTTTTATTTTTTTCTCTTACATTTTCTTTCTTTTTTAATACTGAGACACATCAAATCTCTCTTCTACTGTCATGAAAGTTTTGTTCTCTCCACCCTGTCATTGTAGGTTTTCTTTCCATTCCTGCAAGCTGTTGTTTGTTTAACATTATATCTATGTAATTTCACCCATCTACTAACAAAAGCACAGCTACAGATGAAAGACAGGCAATTAACAAAACTTTAGCTCCTAAATCTTTTGTTCATCTAGAGGTTTCTCTGTTATTTATAGTCAGAGATGATGTTTCAATGCAGACATAGCTCTACTTGTACTTATGTTCAAACTGATTTACAGAGTTGATCAAATCATAGTTATTTTCTGCTCATATATACTTGGAACTGATCCAGATCCTCTTGCTCTGAGGAAGTGTGCAGAGATAGTAAAATCATGAATGATGTAGTATCAGGAAAACTCTACAGAAGATTGAAACTTAAGTTATTTATGCAGGATTTTTTTAACATCTAAACCTTTTCCCACCATTTTTTTGTGTGTGTATCAGGAACAACAGCCAAACACGTGGTGTTCCTGGCAGGAAACACAGCAAAGCATGGGCTGCGCTGCAAAGCCTGCAAGATGAGCCTGCACCACAAATGTGAGAATGGAGTCGGGCAACAGCGTTGCATGGGGAAACTGGTGAGATCCGTGACACAGACGGCATGGTGCATGCACTTTTACCAGTTTAGGAGCGTCTAAGCCCCGTGGATACAGTCATAACAGTGTCGCTGCAACAGAAACCAAAACAGACTCATAAAAATATGAATACTGGCTGTGGGACCATTTCCACCAGAATGTGCTTATTCAGAAATCACACTTTATATGTCAGTGTGCCAGCGCATCTGTGACCAATGTGCACTCTCGTCATCCTCCTCGTTATCGTTATATCATAGCTGCTTCTGTGTTAGATAAGAACACTGTCTAATAACACAGAGCTCTTCATCTCCATCACATCCAGCCAGGGCCAGAGTCGGCTAAAAACAGAAATAAAGACAAATGTGAACGCCTTCGGAATACTTTGTAAAAATAATGGGTCTGTAACTAAAAGATACAAATCCCAAAGTAATGAGAGTAACATTTCAATTTACAAAAGCCTGTGTTTAGGAAACAAACTAATTTAAACTTTTTTTAAGTTAAAATAATTTTTATGTAATGTGCCACTGATAAATCTAAGACGTAGTTTTGTAGTGGAAGGAAAAAAACGTACAAGCCGTTCAAAAATCTTTCATGAAAAGCAAAAAAAAAAAAAAGACAAACCTGAAAAGCGTGGAAAGAATTTGTGTTTATTTTGATAGACCCTAAATTAAATTCACTGCAAGCAGCTGTCTTAAGATGTCCTCTGATTGGTAAATAGAGAAAGGAATTTAAAACATCTATAACTGTTTCTTCCACTTCATAATATTGACACCCTTGTGTTCCTCTGTCACATAAAGCCCAAATAAATACAGGCTTGTTGCTGGAACACGTCAAAATGTTAAGGGGAATATATTTTGTAAGGCACTGTGTGTGGTAGCAAGCTCTTTATCCTCCTGTACAAGTCTGATTTACATTTTCAAACACTTTCTTTGGGCTGATTCATATGCAACATACAGAAAAACCACTATAAAGCTATGATCATGTCCTCATTATGCAGAGGAATTTTTGTAAAATTTGCATGGCAACAAGTTTGTGATGTTAAAACCATCTATTTAGCAATATTAGTCCCCAGAAACTAATCTTTGTCACTTTCATTGCAGAATGTAGATCATTTTCTTATAGATTAAAAACAAGGATCTGGAGTTAATATGTCACACGTTTTATCACTTTACATCATTCATAAACTACATTAAAACATTATCCTCTGGTTAAGGGATGAATCGGTCAGGGTGGTCCTGGTGTTTTTACAAGGCATGGTTTGGCCACGCTGGTAAAGGCCAAGAAGCACTTTCCATTGTCATACTGAAGCAACAAATTAACAGAAAGGGCTAAACTGGGAGACTGCACCTAAGCTTCTCAAGTCCTTTAAAGTTGGACGATTTATGATTACCTCCTCTTGTTTTAATGGCCCTTTGTTGCCTCTATTATGCAATAATAACTGGAACTAGTTAGGAAAACCTGGAATGGGCTGAGTTGGTGTCAAGCAAGATAAAAGCGTATAAATGTCATGTGGAAACGATGTAGCAGTAAAATCAACAATACGGCCCAGGCTTTCTCTTTTTTTTTTCCTTGTTATGTTTTTTTTTCTTTTTTCCCTGGGTTGCTTGAGGGATGAGGCTCGAAGATATGACCAGCTCTCAGGAGTGGAAAATCAGGCTGAGAGGTCAAGCATATAAAGAGAAGTTTTCCCAGAGGAGTATGACTCTAACTTTTACAAACTCTATACTTGGATGCTTCTGCTAACATGCATGTTTCTCTTGGCTAACTGAATGCACCCAGTGTAAAAGCAAGTTACTTCATGCTCCAAATCTGTATCAGTGCTGCAGCTTATTTTTTCCAATAATCTTCTGATTTTTCTAAGAACTCATCACTCCGGAGAGCAATGACATGGATGTTAAGATTCATGAACTTCAGAATCTTTTTTTTGTTTGTTTGTTTTGAATCAAACTTGAGTGGGTTACGTCATCCCTTTTGGAAGTTAATACAATAAAAGTTCAAAAATATTGATATTTGCCATTCCAAGTTTGATCTAAAAAATTATAAAGATATAACAGTTAATTAGCTGCAAGACCTTGCAGCCTGGTACCCTACTCTGAGATTTAAAAGCTCACTCTGGTAACCCCAAAATCTGAAAACTGCAGTACACCACAGTGCTGAATACTGGCTTCTGACAACAAACAAAAAAACAAAAAACAAATTAGAAACATAAAGTTTCTCTGTACATTCAGAGAAGTATTGGTTCTAATGCAGTTTAACCAGCATGATTAGCTTACAAAATATTAGCCTAATAACAGCGACTAATAACAAAGATGGCTCAGGCACCGCAATGTGGAGGAGGAGTTATGTGACCAACGGGTAGCAAAAAGCAGTGATCATCTGTCCAAACGGTAAGTTAACTGAGTTCCCTATAAAGGCCACTATATAGTCCCAACTCTGTATAGGGATTGTGGCATTTAGGGGTTGGGGCAGACGTTTCGGCACAGTAAGCTTGTATGAGCAATGAGAACAGCAACTTCTAAACGGAGTTTGCACGAGGAGAAATGGGCTCTTGCATGCACATTTCTGATGTAAGATGGAGCTTGGCCATTTAAGGCTTTATAAGTGAGAAGGAGGATTTTCGGATTTTCCGATTTAATAGGAAGCCAGGATAGGAGAGAAATAATCTCTCTTTTTAATTTTCATCAGAACTCTGGCTGCAGCATTTTGGATCAGCTGAAGGCTTTTAACTACAGTTTATGGACTTCCTGACAGTAAAGAATTACAATAGTCCAGCCTTGAAGTAACAAATGCATGGACTAGTTTCTCAGCATCACCCTTGGACAAGATATTTCAAATTTTTTAATATTAAAGAAGTATTAAAGAAGGGACCTCTTTGATATGGGATTTAAATGACAGGTCCTGATCAAAAGCAACACCAAGATTTTTTACTTTATTATCTGAGGTCAATTTAAACCGGGCCAAATGAAGTGACTGACTAATTAGCTTCTTTTTCAGACTCTGGTCCAAAGACTATAACTTCTGTTTCATCTGCAATCAGTAGCAGAAAGTTAAGAGTCATCCAGGTTTTTATACTATTAACAAAACCTCATGGTGGCTTTGATGGTCTGGCTGCTGATTCCCTGCTGTATCAGCAGTAATTATAGCATAACCCTAAGCCGTTTATATTATTCATGCACTTGAGTGAGATTCCAAGTATTTTATATTCTTGGATCCAATGATCTTTTTTATGTGGGAGAGTCAGGAGAGGCCCACGCCCACCTTAATGTTTTTTTTTTTTACTTCCCTAGAGCTCACCCACATTTCCCATATGTTTAGATCCAGAATCTTTAAGGCACAGGGCTCACTCTGCCACTTTTCTGTACTGCCAATAAGTGATAAAACATGCATATTCATTTAAAGTAAAATTATTTGTTGTAAGAAGGCAGTCTTGTTCAACATTGTATTTAGTTACAGGCTGAGTAACCATATTTACATTTGCCTTGACTTTGTCAATATATGGAAATTCATATCTGGATTTCAAAGTGATTCAAAAGGCTTTCCTTGTGTCTTAAAATTTCTATTTCAAAAACACAATTTGACTTTCTCACACTTTCAATATTCTTTATTTTTCTGACTGTGAAATAGGGAATTTTCTCTTCATCCAAACCAACATGTCTTAGTTTTCTCTGAGTCACTGAAACTCTTGACAGCAGTGCACTTGTTGGACAATATTTCCAGTGACAAGCTTTGAAAAGGAATCAATTTGATTCACGCTCATGATGAAATCAGTGATTCACTTTTCTGGATTTTTGGTGATGAATGTTTTGTTCCCAACATTGAGAAATACTTGCTGCAAACCTTCGCAGCTTTCTTCAGGTTTCTTCCAAGAACAGCAAATGTCTTTCACTACATAACTGTTTTTATTATTTATTTGACAGGGACAGTGCACATTAAAAAGCAGTCCTGCAAATGCACCAGAATTAGCAAAAAGGCTATTTTTCATCTGTTGTCCCTGGACAGATCTTAAAATTGTCTACCTAAAAAAAACAAAAAAACACAACAGTAAACATTCTACAATGAAATAAAAAATAAAATAAAATACAGAATAAGTGTTCGCTGGAATAGAATAAAACCTTTAAACTACACTCACCGGCCACTTTATTAGGTACCCCATGCTAGTAACGGGTTGGACCCCCTATTGCCTTCAGAACTGCCTCAATTCTTGGTGGCATAGATTCAACAAGGTGCTGGAAGCATTCCTCAGGGAGTTTGGTCCATATTGTCATGATGGCATCACACAGTTGCCGCAGATTTGTCGGCTGCCCATCCATGATGCGAATCTCCCGTTCCACCACATCCCAAAGATGCTCTATTGGATTGAGATCTGGTGACTGTGGAGGCCATTTGAGTACAGTGAACTCATTGTCATGTTCAAGAAACCAGTCTGAGATGATTCCAGCTTTATGACATGGCGCATTATCCTGCTGAAAGTAGCCATCAGAAGTTGGGTACATTGTGGTCATAAAGGGATGGACATGGTCAGCAACAATACTCAGGTAGGCTGTGGCGTTGCAACGATGCTCAATTGGTACCAAGGGGCCCAAAGAGTGCCAAGAAAATATTCCCCACACCATGACACCACCACCACCAGCCTGAACCGTTGATACAAGGCAGGATGGATCCATGCTTTCATGTTGTAGACGCCAAATTCTGACCCTACCATCCGAATGTCGCAGCAGAAATCGAGACTCATCAGACCAGGCAACGTTTTTCCAATCTTCTGTTGTCCAATTTCGATGAGCTTGTGCAAATTGTAGCCTCAGTTTCCTGTTCTTAGCTGAAAGGAGTGGCACCCGGTGTGGTCTTCTGCTGCTGTAGCCCATCTGCCTCAAAGTTCGACGTACTGTGCGTTCAGAGATGCTCTTCTGCCCACCTTGGTTGTAACGGGTGGTTATTTGAGTCACTGTTGCCCTTCTATCAGAACAGCTCGAACCAGTCTGGCCATTCTCCTCTGAACTCTGGCA